GAAAAAAAATAGGACATCGCCCTTTCATTTTACTTATCTGGTGAAATCGGTTCATTTATATTTGACTGCACAATCAGTGTAAAGTCAAAAACGCACATTTTATGCTTCCAGTTTTGTTTTTTTACAAAGAAAAAACGACCTTATCTATGTCTGCCTGTCTGTTTGTCTCTCAGTGTGCCCGTGTGTCTGTGTGTCTGTCTGTCTGTCTGTTAATTTGTCTGTCCGTCTGAAAATAAAACAACGCGTTCGGGGAATATGTAAAAGACTTCATATTCAGGACAAAGTGTGATATGATAATATATATGGTTATCACTTGCTTCAAGTAAAACATTCAATTTGTAAGTTTGTAAAAATGTTTAACCGCACTCTCGACACAGTTTGGTCATTTTAGCGTGCATGACAAGAATGTGGTTTCTCTGCATTGGTCAACGTTAAATTAATCTCATCAACCCGTTTTAGAAATGTGTTTGTAATAGATCTTCTTGTTTCACGCACAGATCGCACACGGATTATTATAATTTTGGTTCTAACATTTTCGTGAATGAAATCGGCACAGCATTCAAACATACAAGATAGCTTTAAGATATTCTAAACAGTCAAAACTGCATTCATACAATCAAACTAGCATTCAAACAAACTAAACAGCATTCAAACTATCTTAGCAGCATTCAGTAAGTATAAACAGCACTCAAGCAAACGAAGGAAGAGAACTCACCGCGTGCCGTTTAAAAGATCTTCTCACGTTACACGAGAAACTCAGGACTGGACTCCACGATCGCATCAACAAGGGAAGGAAAAAGTCCAAGGCAAGGACAACACTGCCGATGATATCTTTTTATACACATAGGCTGGACAAATCAACAGGCATGATGATAGTTCTCACCCTCCGCCAGTTTCTGGCACAAAAACAAAAGTCGAAAAAACACCCCCGACGGGACAGTCAGACCCGAGCGGCGAGAGTGCGCACGACGCTGGGTGTTCCAGTGAAGTGGAGTGGGGTGAACCCCGATACCACTCAGTGTGGGTGCACGGCGTGACGCTGGGCCCAGCAGGAGAAGAGAAATCGACCCGTACCAAAACCCAATGTACGCACGGGTGACTTCCCGTTGCACACAGTGTAAAGGGCAAAAGGATTGGGGGGGGGGGGTGAGGAAGGTGGAAGTACTCCATGTTTGATTAACTGTCTGTTGTAGGCCTACGTGAAACAATAACCTGCTTTTTAATAAGGTGGGGTCAAAATTCAACTTGTACCGAATTTTGTTCGGGAGAGGGTGTTCCCCGCTCAATTGGCCCATCTACTTCATATCCTTATATGGCTTTCTTCTCAGGTGAATATTTATTGTGGGTGGCTGGCGAGTGCCTTGGTGTGGTTTCCTCCTTTTTTTCTATCAAGCATCTATCATCCTTATTTTTCCCTATTTCTTTTTTGTTTGTAACTCTCTTGCAACACGTCTGTCTTCTGCACTTATATGACCTTACCGTGTTGCGAGTGCCGTAAAACTCTTACTTTAAAAAAATTACATGACTGATTTTAACAAAACAGCAACATGTCATGCACAAGAATTATGACGAGAGAAAGGGCAGCCGAACATCTGGACGGCAGAGAGCTGGGATTTCTTCTTCCCCTCGGAGCAGTCCTAATGTTCGATATTTAAGGCGTTTTATTTCTGTCTAGACTCTAGACTCATACATCCGCTAATCATCGCCCTATTTTGCAGCTGTGGTAAGTTTCTTCACAAAAGACAAATCCTGCAAAACAAAATGAAAAGGTGTTTAATACAAAACTGGTCATGCGCATGGCTGTCAGACCATTATAAAGTATAAAGGAAATAATGTGATCAAAGGTAAGATATGAGGTACAAGGGCTACGAGTTCACAACGCACAACGTGGACCGACAACTTCATAATTTTATGCAAAAATGCCCGAGCACACCTAGAAACTGTCAACAGTGGCTGATCATTACACGTGTCCTCTAAGCCGAAGCGTAAGATGGCACCTCTGGGAACCAAGAAATTCAATCGAACCGAACCATTCAATGTTTACGACATAAGACAAAGCTTTTAAAGCTTCGAATAGTTCAGTTTTAATCATTTTCAGAATGGTCATGTAACCTATGATAACTTACTTTCGAGTAATATTCATTAGTTGTCACTGCATGCACAGAACTCGCAATGTAAGTAATAGACAAATATGATATCTTCCTTTTCATGTCAGTGACTTCGATGATATTGTGTGCATATGGTATGGTATGGTATGGTATGGTACGGTACGGTATGGTATGGTATGGTATGGTATGGTATGGTATGGTATGGTATGGTATGGTATGGTATGGTATGGTATGGTATGGTATGGTAT